CCTATTCAGTGAAGGCTTCTATATAAATACATCCTTCACCAGCAGTTTTGGCCTTAACCTTGATCACAGCATGAGTTAATCACCCCTAGATTTCTCCCTTCATTTGTGAAGAGCTTTATAGAGCCCCTGGCTAAGATGGGCTTAGGCATGAAGCCTCCTGGAATTCCACTGCTGAGACACAGCAGGGGCCATCTGCATTAAATCCTTGAATATTTTCTTTTTCCCACTGTGGTATTTTGGGAAATTTTACCCATACATTACAAATACAATACTAAACCAATTTAATAATGTTTCTCTGACCAAATTTAAATGTAAGGCTTTGGTCATTAATTTCAGGCTTGAAAATACTGAGTAAGACGATAATTAAAAAGACCTATGAAAAAATAAATCTAAAAAAAAGTCAGCAGGTGTACATGGAAACAAAAGACCGAGACATGATCAAAAACTTGAAATTCAGTCCCGGTCAATTATAGAGTTGTGCCACTGTACACCTGTGAAGTGAAGAGCTGTCTATTAGTTTCCATGGCTGCAGTTCAATGGCTGAGTCATTTTGCAGGATCTGTGGTTCTCTACTGCATCAACACAGTGCTGTGTAAGTCTTAGACAATTATTTGAGTGGGCTCAGAAAAAAAGACTGAAAACACTGAGAACTGGACTTGAAACACCATTGCACAAGGGGACGCAAACATACTGCAAAAATACTGTACCATTAATCACAGCCTACTGTAAATAAAAGCTAATTTAGGCTGGTGTGAAGAATTTGTTTAAGCAATTTAGAACTTAATTCACCACACTTTTATTTACATGAGACTAACTCATACAAGCAAACATTTGCAACAGACCCCAAATTATTTTTACAGCTCCACTGCGACACTGATACATATTCAGTCCAAACCACCAGCTGAAGTGGTCTTTGCTCCACTTTCAATCATGGATGCAGATAAACATGCATAAGTAGGGTGCCATCTTGGCTTAGAAAATGCTTCTGATGTCAAAAATAAAACTTAATGCAAGCTTCAAAATAGTAACCTCCCAAGATTCTACAGGAATTTAGATTTAAAGGGCCTATATTCGTTAATTTTCTTTAATTTTATCAATTGAAGTCCTTTTATAATTTGTGTGTGGTTTTATGTATCGCAACAATCATAATTCATATTTACAGGATCATTTTCTGAATGGCTGAACAGGATGTTTCTTGTTACTTAGTTCCAAGGACTGATATGCTTTGGCCTCTGCTCTGAATGTCTGAGAGCACCGCATGTACAAAAAGGCTGAAATGAACAGAACAAACTGTTAAGTTTGGACTGAAATCCTCAAGGACACTGAAAAAACTGCCACACTTTTCAGATGTTGGGATGCTTTGAAAGGCTGCAATGACACATCTGCTTCAGCCACTAACAGCACAAAGTTTAATCATCCCCCCATTCTCCACTCTAATAACTCTGCTACAGACTCTCTGCACAAACAACACTCCTTATTGCTTCAATAAGTATATGTGGATCTGTATAACTGTAACCAGAATGGGCTGTGATATCTAAATGAGTTTATATGTTATTATGTATCTGTAAATGTACAGTACAGAGCAAATGTCAAAGACCACCCCTACTTTATTTATTTTCCAGTCAAAACAGCCATTAAGTTTTTTCAAGTTATTCAGTTATTCAAGAGACAGTTCTGAAAATATTACATACATAAGAGCATCTACTTGCATAAGGAAGGAGAAAGTGAAGGGAAAATAAGTGTAAAAACTGCAGCTCAAATAGAACTTCTCTAAAAAGTTACAGAGAAAACTGGACTGCTAACGACTGTGCAAGACCTGGAAGACCACCAAAACTGTCACCATTAGATAAACTGTACTTAAAACTTAAAGATAAAATGCAACAAACTTATTGTTGAAAAATACTGCTCTTTGACAAACTGAAAGTAAGTTTCCTCAAAAGAATTGACACTGTAATAAAGGCACACTAATTACTTTAGTTGCTGAGGCTTCTGGGTATTTTTCTGTTGAATATATGTTTTTGGCTTTTTCCAAATTGTGAAAAATAAGCAACTTGGTCATTTTGGCTAGAAATAAATACATAAAAGTGGTCTCTCGTGGACTTCCACAATACTCTATACTTTGAGATCATCGCTGTCCAAAAACAAAGTTATCCAAAAAGACAGAAAGCTAAAAATCCAAAAAATGGAGATACATGTTATTTCTTTCTTTTAGATAGTGATTATATAAATATTGCCTCAAATCCACGAGAACAATGTGGAAAAAATACAAGTATTCAATTCTACAAGTATGCCTGCAATAGATTTTTAAAATACAATAGATTTTAATTAACAACAACCAGGAGCGGTGCTCAAAAGCCTCATATAATCATGGTGATTGTAGATCATAGGGCTTTCGCAGAAGATGGCTCATCAGTGACGGCAGCTGCATAAGCAGCAGTGTAGCTGCCTTGTTTTCCCTCAATAGCCCTTTTTCAGTACCCATAGCAACCGTTTTGTTTGGACAATATGGTGGGCACAGTGGTTTCTGCCCTCCTCATGCCATAATGATTTTACACCTCGAGAGCATCTGCACTTGTCAAAGAGCAGCAGAGCAGACGTTTTAAGAGCCGCTGTGCACTGCCTTTCATCAAAGATGCATGAGGGACGGTGAGCCGAGCGGCTGCTGTAGCTAGCTGAACTGACACACGGGCAGACATTAAGGCCATTGATTCCCACAGGAGCACTCCAAACCCCATCAGCCTCCTCCAGCACAAGCCAGAGGTAGACTTAGTCAATTTTTCCCAGTAAGACTCCACTGTGACCTCTTTCACACGGATCAATCTCAAAGGCGAAACCTTTTTCTTTCAGATACCTCACAGTATGAGGATACACGCAAGTGTAGCCAAACAGTGCAGAGCTGGTACTGGATAGGCAAGCATGTGTAATGATATTCAGCTGATGACAGACAAGTGGTACTTATCTGTTTCCTGGAAACCAAAGTCATCCATTCACAGGGACAGCAGTCCACAGCAGCTTTGGAGTGAATGTAGTCAGGATATGCATTGAAATGTACATATCGTCTCTCTCTGTGTTTTTTTTCATTTAACACATACACCAGACGTCCAACGAGAAAGCAGCACCACGCAAGTGCAATGAAAGGAGAGTAGCTTAAGTGATGTAACATCTGCAATTTGTCAGACCACGTGAAGTCCAGTGATTCACCAGACTGTAAAAGAACAATGGTTACATCTTGTTCGGTGCACTCACCTCACAAACAATGCAAATCCATTAATTTCTGCTGGCCCATTTGTTCCTTTTGACGCACAAGCTGCCAACAACAGCCCACTCGCCCATTACTGACCCATTACTAATGCATTCTTTGTATTGTGCCTTTCATAAAGTCATGAGTTACAAATAACATTTAGCTTTGAGAATAAACTCACTGCCGATGACACTAACAGGGAGCTTTAGAAAAAGGATCAGCTCTGCGCAAACACTGCTAAAAGCAGCTGAGAGCGAGCTGAAAGCTAATCAACAGTAGAAATTTTCAGCGCTTTGTTTTTTGTTTTTCTGTATTTGAAAGGCCTTGCTGTTGGCCGTGGTAGCTATTTTCAACTTCACAGATTCAGCGAGGGGCTATGTTAAGTGAGCTTCCAAAAAAACCCACACATTTTGAGAAAGTGAGACTGACTTACACTTTATAGAAAATAAGACACTGTTGAGAAAAGATACTAAATTAAAATTTCAAGAGCTTTTCATTTACATAAAGCCAGTCTTTGCCTTCTTTTAGTTTCTTCAGGCTTAAAACCAGACTTCACCATGACTGTAACTTTCAGGGAACAGCATAAATTAAGGGGTTTTGGTCCAAAACACATCACAGGCCACTTTTAAGTGCAGGCCGGTCTCAATTATGAGATTTTAGCTGACGTTTAACTGTTGTGTAAATAACTGCGATTAACAATTTAACTGTCTTCTCTTGTTCATCAGATTTATGTTAAAATACAAGCCTGAAGAGGCTGAATTGGTTGATTAGTTGTCTCGCATTCTAGTTAATGTTTATGTAGTAGGTAAAACTGGTTGGTTGTACTGATGAAATTATTACTTGAGAGTGAAAATATAAGTAAAACAAATATAAGTAAAAGTCATTCTGCTGGCATACATGCTAAAAACATAAGAACATAGATTTGCCTCACCTCACCACACCTAATTCACATTCTGCATGAAAACAACTGTAAAAATCTAACAGCTGTGGAAAATACTGCAGCCAGCTTGAATAACTGTAATAATCTCAGTTAACTGTGTTCAGTTCAAATAACTGTGATTAGGCTGTTATGTAATGATTGTGAGAGGCCTATTCAAGAATTGTATTTTTGCTCATTATGAACATTGTTGGAAGTGGGCTTTACACATACAATAAATATCAGTGCTATATTGTGATTAATGCCACCCTTGCTAGAGAAATAAAAATGTGTTTTCTATTATAAATCAGCTGTTATTCATCAGCTGTATATCAAAAACTGTCCCAAATGGGTAAACAGCACTCTGGAATTCTCTCTTCAATTACAGCAAAGGTACAAGTGAAAATATAACAAACAAGACAAAATTTAAACTATCTTGGAATTATTTGATAAAAGGTCCATTAGCTGAGATTGTACTTTCACCCATGGGGCAGCTGCACTATCCATACATCAACCCTTGGTTTCACTTTAATGCAAAAGCTATTGCTAAACAGAATGCATTGACTGCAGATGTGTGACAAAATGTACAGACTGTAATCACAATTTCCTTTTGTTTAACTATGAAACTAGTTTAGTACTTATTAATTAAGAACTAATTGTTATTTATTAATTCATCGCAACCCTAGCTGGATCAAGCGGCTTAAGAAGATGAATGAATAAATGAATGAATAATTGTTATTTAGTCACGACTAAATGAAACAGTGTGGATGTATATATAAATGAGTGCAATGTTCATATCAAGTGTGCAGTGGAATCTGAGGTTCGAGCTCCAAATGGTCCTACCTGGCGGAGGATGAAGCTGGTGGAGGTGGTGCTACCATCGGACCTCTTGAGTCGGCTGCGGCGAGAATAGGTTCCTCTGTTCACCTACAGCAGGAGCACAAACCATTCATCACCTCTGTCTCTCCTTCTGGCACAACAAGGGCACCTTCATGCACTGACAGCAAAACACTATCAGCAGAACTGACACAGTTACAGTCTAATACTAATGTTTAAGTAAAAGCACTACATTTGTATATAAGCAATGTAAAAATATATATTTATTAAATATTTCAATATTTCATTTCATCATATTTTGTAAAAATATGAAAATGTAGGAATGCACAGTGATATTGCAATTATATCATCATCTGCAGATTATAAAAAAAATAATAATGATTTATTGGCAGTGGACCAGTGGTAACTGGATGGAAACAAGACTTGCCTTCAATTTTGTAAGTCACTCTGGATAAGAACATTTGCTAAATGCCATCAATGTAAGTGTAAATGTTATGACCAATAATTAACTGATATTTGATGATACATTTGCTGTGCTGGGGTATTGTGCTAAAATATCCATATTTTATTAATTGTACTGCATTTTGTTGCTGTTTAGAGAAAAACCTTGTATCTCCAAAGTGTTGACTTTACAAGAGAAGAAAAAGTCTTAACTTTGAATGCAGGTTAATGCAGAAATTATTTATTCTAAGTAATTCTGGAGCATTTCTTTTGATCCATTCATTACAACATTTTGACACAATTTAAGAGCCATTAAATTGTAAAATGGCATTCTCAAATTATATCAAAAAATCAAAAATGGAGGTACAAGATTCTGTCCTGATAGTGACGACTTGTAATCTGACACTAATTAATGTTCCTTTTCTCTATCCTGTTGATCAAGGTAGACTCAAGTTCTACATTTTATAAATATGTGTGTATTGGCAGGAGCATCAACATCATTAGATATGTACATGAAAAATACAGAATATCAACACCAGCCCAGAATTCCCATATAGGTGCATCCCTAATGGAATAATGCATAACAAATGTCATATACCAATTCCTGCGTGCCAATTTTTCTTGCCCTCTACTACAGACTTTAATGAATTTAGTTAGTAAGCTTTTCTGAACTGTGCAGTTAAACTAAACCTATAGCTAAATAAACAGTTTCACTTTCACCTATCAAGGGTGTTAACTGACACACAAACACCACACAGATGCAAATATATAGAGATATGTGTCACAGCGGCCCTGAGGAGCTGAACACTGTAATGCTACAGAGACACCGAGGCTATGCGTTTCGGAGGCTACACTGTCCTTCAGTGTAGCTGGTTGCAATGCAGTCAAATGCAGTTTGTCTTGTGCTCTCTTCAGGCTATACAGCGCACCCTGCAACCACTGACACCACTGCAAACACTTCCCCCTCCTGACCAAATAATCCATAATCCTACACTCTTCACAGAGATGGTTCTTCAAGGGTTCTTTAGTAAAGACAATGGTTCTATTTACAACCTTGACCTCTATATGTTTAGACGGTTCTATGCATGGTGAAACGGTTCTTCAGATTAATGGTGAATGTGTTTTTAAAAAATGGTTCTAAATAGCACAAAAAAGGGTTCTTCCATTATTACAAGCTTGACATCGTAACAATACATTCTTAAAAATGATGGTGCTTCAAGGGTTCTTTAGTAAAGAAAATGGTTCTAGATAGAACCATGAACACTCAAAGAACCCTTTGCACGATTAAAAGGTTCTCTGCATCATGTAAACGTTCTTTGGACTGACGGAAAATGTGCTGTAGATGGTTCTATATACAACCGTTTAGAAAATGGTTCTATATAGCACCCAAAAAGGTTCTTCTATTGTTACTATGTCAAGCTTGTAACAATAGCTGAACCTTTTCTGGTGCTATATAGAATATTTTTTTTAAAAAAGTCTATATAGAACCACATACAATACATTCTCCATCAATCTGTAGAACTATTTAAGCATGAAATGGTTCTATACAGAACTCATGTTTCTAAACAGATCCATTTCCTTTACTAAAGAACCCTTTAAGAACCATCTTTTTAAGAGTTACAAGCTGGTATTGAATACATTTAAAAAATAGTTCTACCATTAAATCCAGTAGCCAACTGAGGGGATAAAAACTAGGTCATCCCTCCTCAAGACAGCCTCCTGAAAGATCCTCACAGCAAAAAAAATCAATGAGGTCATGAATTATTAAGCAGACTAATTAAATTCCAATAGGCTAAACTGATGACATCCTCAGATTTAAATCAGGTCATTTTCATAATGAATGTAGGGAAGATAAGCACGTAAAATAAGCGCAGCAGAAGACTGTACTGAAATCTCTGTCTCTCAGAATCAGAAACAGCATTCAGCTAACGGATAATGAGCACCGCAGCAGTGAAAACTTCCCCGAGGTCAGAAACACGGAGGTAAGTGAGGCACTCAAGCTGTACATATAAACCAAAATCAGAGAAAAGTCCGTCTATTACGCGCCCACAACACACATCACATGTAAAGCGCTCCACAGATTCACCCACACCGCCTTCTTCACCTGAAAAATGGGCTTCTGAACACCTTCTCCTATCCCGTGTCGGGTGTAGATATGCCGGGACATTTCGGCCAGTTCGTCGGTCCAGGGAGGCGGCTGTCTCTCGGTACCAGCCCATTGGCACTGAGGCGGGTAGTGCACTGTCTGCTCCAGCTTGGCTTTAACCCGGTGAGCCTGTGTTACTGAGAGAAGGTCCGCTGCTCTGCGTTAAACACGAATACACCACCGCACACCGCTAAAGACCACCACTACTGCTGCTACTGCTGCTGCTTCCCCTCAGCCTCAGAGCGCAGTGGCACGTGGTCGCCTCTAGTGGACCAATTAGCCTCCTGCTAACCACCTCCCAAAGGTCACACAGGTAAGCTAGGTTACCACTGCAGACTCTTCTACTGGATTTATTAGGGGTGCACAGTGATACTGGAATCATATCGGTATCGGAAGATAAGAAAACAAGGAGGTTAGATTTTACTAATGCTTCAAAATTATGTTTTATAACGCATTCTATTTATTTTAGTCACCTTTACTGCAAGCATGTACTGCATTTCTACAGTCTATAAATGTTTATGTATCGGCATTGGAAGCCATGTGTATGAAAAATATTGAATATCAGGCTCAGCCCACAACTCCCATATCTCCCATATCAGTGCATCCCTAGAATTCATGCTAATTGTTGGTGTGTTTGTAGCATGATACTTTAAAAATAAGAGCCATATTAGACACAGACAGGTGACTGGGGCTGAATCTTAAATGGCTCCATGCTCCCTGCGTAGTGCACTATATAGATCTTAAAATAATGCCTTCAGCACCCAAACATTATGCAATAATAAAGAGTCTGTTGGGATTCAGCTACAATATGTACAATTCCCTACTGGACATTTAGCACGCTATTTGGGTAAGGAAGCCAAACTTGCAGAAGTCGCATAGCGTATTGTGAAGGGAGCAGGGAGCCATTTGAGAATAAGCCAAATTAAAGGAAAAAACTGTGAAGAAGCATAATGAGTGTAGATGCTTCCAGGCAGGTGCACTGCAAGCGAGGGGTTTACAACTCCAGTCCTGGAGGGCTGGTCTTCAGCACAGTTTGGAGGTTTCCCTACTCAAACACACCCACTAAACCTGGCAATTAACAGATAAGTCTAATCAGCTGTGTTTGAGTACGTAAATCTTAATCCTTAAGCAATTAATAAATCTTAATCCTTAAGCAATTAATATGCTACTCTGAAAACAAATGGTTCATGATTAAAACATGGTAAATTGTTGCACACAAATTAAGTATCGTGGTGTCAGTGTTGAATAAGACACAGGAAACATTGTGCTTTGAAGGCGAATGCTCTTTTATTAAGCAGGCAGCAAGGGAGACCACCTCTCAGTGCTAACTGCCATGGCCAGGAAGCAGGCAGGTCACTTCTAAACATACATCTTCACTTGATGGTAGGTATGAACACTGACATTACTCCACAGCCCAACACAGTAAAGCACAAGCAACATATCAGCACCTAATTAAGCTAACAAAAGCTTAGTTACAAGGGAAGTCTCTCCTACTGTGAGTGTAGCACCTCTCGAGAGCCTCTGTGCATAGCTGCTTTGCATGGCCATGCCTTACGTGCTCCCATGGCAGTGTGAGCCAGTGGCAGGACACCAAAATTTATTACATCAACACAATTAAATTAATTTGAATTTGCTTGCTTTGACAGTTGTGTTGCAACACATTTTATTTGTGTGCAACTACTTGCCATATTTTAATCACGTAGATTCAAAGTGCCATTTTTTTCAGTGGACGTCTGAGAGACGTGTAAAAGTGCTGAGCAGGCACAGTCGACCTCAGTGATGGATCAAGATGGCAATAGGAAAAAATCCAAGTGACTTTGAAAGAGGGTTCATTATTGGGACATCGATGGCAGGAGCTTCAGTCAGAAACACTGCTCAACTGGCTAGAGTTTCAATAAGAACAGAGATTAAAGGGGCATCTGCATTCAGATATATGGGGAAGGTCATCAGTAAAAGGGGTCAGAAATTGCGGCCAAAAGCACACATTCAGTGACTGTGATACTCATGCATTATTGTGATATGTAAGAAAATACAGAAGAGAACGTGAGAATGTCAATACAGGATGTGATCAGACTGTGCCAGCAAGAAGAGTCTATCCACAGCTATATAGAAAGAGATATAGTAGGGTTGCAGCGCTCAAACCCCGATTGCATAGACAAATGCACATTTCCCTGCTGAAAAAATACCAGCACATACCACCATGCATTCCATGCTGGTCTAAACTGGCTTACGCTGGTTAAACTGGTCACCCAGAATGGCCAAGACCAGCATCTAAAACACATGCTGCTTTTGGTGATGATCAGCATAATAACTTACATGACTGCTGACCAGTATAGCAGCATTCAAAACACAGCACATGCCAGTTTTGATGGTGACCAAGCATGTTGGTCTATGCCGTTTTTTCTATCAGAGTTGAGAGTTCAGAGGTACAAAAACCGTAGACTCTACTGAGCAATATGGTCAGATGAGTCATCTTTCACTATGCTCTCCACAAGTGTACGGTACCATCCTGAATGCCTGACCTCTACAGTGCAGTGGCATATCTAGACCAATTTTAAAGGGGACAGTGGACAGGGTTAAAATTATAGATCATATACTACAGTATAGATTTTACAAAGCTATTTAAGAATGTATTTTTGCTTCATTTGTTCTGTGCCACATTGAAGTTCCTTGGTTAAAAAAGCCTTCAACAAAAATCGATAGATATTTATTAAAAATGGTTTCGATGTGACATTTCTTTTATTAAACAAGCATTTTTCCACAGAAATTTTCCAGTTTGTGCACTGTGTCAAGCTGCTTCTGGTCCAGTTAAAAGTCACCACTGCTACAGAGATGAGGCCCAGAAGGTCTGTTATGCTGTGGGGAGACATTTGTTAACATGATTCGGGTCCACTTTTCAGTGAGAAGGGTCACTGCAAATCACAACAGAGTTACTCTGACTGATGCCCTTTATTCTCTTAACATTTAATCTTGATCCATCTGATCTCAACCAACCACTATCATGAAAAATACCAGCTGAGAGAAAATCTTTCAGGAAGAATGGTGTTCCATCCCTCCAGTACAGCTTTAGAGACGTGTAGAATCTACGCCAAAGCACATTAAAGCTGTGCTGGTGGCTCATCGTGGCCCAGACCCAGACCCAGATTAGGCCTAATCCTATACTAAAAATAATTACCAGTGCTGATTCACCATTTGCTCTGCAGTTTAGTCCAAGACTAGAGTTAATCCTTGTCTGGAAAACTGGCCCTTAATATTGTTTTTTGTTTTTCCATCTATTTAATGCCCTTTTAATTTGTACAGTTGAATTGCTGTTTTTCAGAGATGAGAACAAGAGGAGTGTAGAGGAGTCTAAACCACATGTAAACAAGCTATATAGTACCAAAAAAGTTCTGTTTGTTACAATGTCAAGCTTGTAACAATAGAAGAACACTTTTTTATAGGTGCTAGATAGAACCATATACAACACATTCTCCAACAGTCTGAAGAACCATTTTACCATACAAAGTACTCTTTAAGCATGTAAATGATTTGAGTGTTCATGGTTTCTTTCTTATAGAACCACATCAAGTATCTATTAGCATGTACTATGAAAAAATTAAAAGCAAAACAGTTCAGGTGCAAAAAACAAACTAAAACAGAAGTACCTCCAAAATGGCAAATTTACAGAAGGCAAAAGCTTTTACTTTTGGTGTAAGTTAATGTAATGATATTTTATTACAAGCAATTTTAGAGCATTTCTATTGGTCCATTCTTCACAAAATTTTCACACAGTGTAAAAGACATGATTAACTCGAATGATACTTTTTTAACAGTGACAAAATATGACTAAATGTAGAAGGCAAGATGCATTTATACATATTTAAAGACAAACCTATCAAAAGTTTACTTAAGTCCCGATGAATAAGTTTAACTTACTACCAACTCCTTCTCCTGGAAGAAGCCCAAGGACCCAACCACAGTGACCAGTGACATGAGTAGCCTTGAGACTAATTTACATTGCACTACAAACAAGGTGGTCCCACAGTTTAGCTTTCCTGAAGTCTATGGTGAAATGTTCTAAAAAGCGAACCTTAACTTCAAATGCTTTGGAAAGAAAGTGTTAAATGCTGCACCTCTGAAGCCCTAAAGAAAACTATTTTCACCTACTGCGCTATTCATAGGCCTATTATGTATAATAAATGCTCTGGGAAGGTTGGTATAGAATGCAAAATGTCAGACACCCTGGTGTAGTTTCTCCTGGGCATATCCACAAGAAAGGCAGAGGAAAATCAGGGGAGTTGAAAGAGCTGTCAGTCTTTCTTAATTGCACCGCACTGCATTTATGGATCAAAACAGCTTTATCTCCAAGGGGCTTAGCTTATCTGAACTTATAAGCTGCTTCTTCTTGTACTAGACCTTATGTGGATGGACCCTAGAGGTTGATCATTAAGATGCTCACAACCATCTTGAGAACATGTTGACATCAGAAACTATGCTGGTACGTGCGTGTTTTTGTTATCTTTTTTGTTATATTGCTGAGACCATTTGAACAAGATACTCATCACTTCATTTAAGAGGCGTTCGATTGAATAGCAAACCAAGTATGACCAGTTTAACTGAAGAGTTAAAGCATAACGTCACTTCTGATACCAAACAAGCAGGATGTGAAACACAAGGCAAATTTATTTTTGAAAGATATTAGAATTTACTGTGTTACAAAAGTAATCTTATAAACATGAACACAGGAAACAGGGCAACCTTGATGTTATAAAACATTGAGTCTGCCAGAAGTTTACAGGCCAAGGAACATTCCCTCTATATCTCATAAAACATACAGGTTTACAGATATACAGCAGCATCTGAAATAAATTCTATGAATTGCATTTGTTTATGTACTTATTTTACTTCCATCATCTGACAGAACAAGGCATCTGGTGGTAAATGTTTATAAAGTTAAGGTGCAATACAGAAATGCTAGATATTTTACATCTAATATACAAGACCTTTGTTGAGGCAGGTTAAGAAAAAGTTACGATACGTCTCCTGTCTACGTCACACTACATGTCTTTCTTGCTCATCAAATTGCTTTTCTGTTTGATGAGGTTCAAGCAAAATAGTTCAATTTTGGAAATATTACTCAAAATCTGAGGTTCTTTCAGGATATATTACACTTACACAAAACACAATAGAAAGCAAAGTATTCTGTAACTCTTGATTAATGATTACTGTTTGGTCAAAGGATGCAACAGCTGTGCTCCCAAATCTATTTTAAAAGAAACACGTATAACACAAAGAAAAAAACAGATCTGAACACATGCAAAGCCAAAAAAGGCATTATGCATCTCTCTGTTAAAGCATCATGATTTGTTTGTATCTTTACAGAAGTTAAATTAAAAGTTTAACAACAATGAACACCCACAAAGCAAACACAAGCAGTACTTGTGTATTAAAAAGGCAATTTCTACATTGAAACCATAAAGGGATTGCATTTGTGCCCACTTTCATTTCAAAGCTGATCTTATTAAAGTCACATACAGTACATGAGCCTCCGGATCAGTGGTCACCAACCCAGGTCTTGGAGATCTACCTTCCAGTGGAGTCTAGTTCCAACTGCAATCTGATACACCTTCATCAGAAGCCATTAATTGGCTGGATTAGATGCACTGGAGTTAGGAAAGGGGGAGGTAGCTTGTTAGATGCAGGTTGGAACTAAACTCTGCAGGAAAGTATATCCCAGGAAGAGAGCTGGTGACCACTGCTCTAGATTCTGCAGTCTACTACAGTGACTGCTTACCAGGCTCTGTCACTTCTGCATCCTTTCTCTTGCCCAACTCTGGTCCAAATGCTCCATCCTACATGTAAACCCAGATATTAACCAAAATACAAAATGGCATATTCAATTATTTCAGCATTCTGGAGAACTATGAAATAAAAATCTTCATTATTTGTTGTGTCTTTGTGATGCCTTAATTACCTTCTGGAAGGCAGCAAGATACGAAGACTAAAACAATCAAACTGTCAGTCTGCCAAGAGATTTGTCTGCCAATACAGCACAAGAAAGGAGAAACACAAAAAAAGAAAAAAACACAAAGAAAAACAAAACATGATTGGACCAAAACACGGCCTGTCTTAAAGAGCCCTCTAACTTTTTACTAATTGGAGTAAAATGTATTCACTCAGGCTGGCTGAAATTTTTAACTTGGGGCCAGAAAAATGTCACGATCTTCGAAAATAGAATCTGCTGGTGGAGAGTGGCCAGAGTAACTTAAAAAAAAACAACAAATAAACAAACAAATAAAAAAAAAATAAAAAAAAAAACACGACAGACACTAAATATGTTTAAAATTAAATATGGAAATATGCTGATGATGTTGGTGAGTTTGCGGGCAACAGCTTCTTTCCTGAGCCAGGGTGCTTGCCTTCCTCAGATGAATAACATCATTCCTGTAGTGAGTCACTACTGAGCCAAATGTCTACCAGCTACCTCAGTATAACCTTGCAATAAATCAAGAAATAGAAACACATTCAGGCTAATCTCACTGTTTTGATTCGGTATTGGCAGGGATATGCACAGCTGCAGATTGCTTGCACAGCTTCACAGGAGGGGTTGCTGGTAGTAGGCTGCCTGCTGCTGCTGGGTTGAAGGGGGAGCAGGTGCTGTCATTGGATAGGAGGTTGGTGGCATACCAGGATTAGTATTGTGATAGGCAGACATGTCCATAGCCACACCCATCTGTGGCGGATAAGAGCCAGGAGCTTGGTTCATATATGGTGCAGCCATCCCACTGCTGCAAAAGGAGCACAACACAACTCTTGTTGGCAAACCACACACATATAACTACCATCAGGACTTCCTCAAACATAAACAGTAAAAAGATCAACCTATAAAATGAACATCAGACATGTGGTAGCATGATTTAAAATACCTGATGTAAGGTGACTGTGCTGGCTGACTGGCGGATGTAGAGCTGACCGTGGGAGGCAGAGAGCAGAGGGGTGCAGCTTGATCTGAACCTAGACTGTAGCCCTGAGGAACACCACCAGGCATGTAGGTCCCTGAAGGCTGACCTGGATAACCCTAGGAAAATTTTGGAAGAGAGAGAGGAGACAAAGAAAAAAAAAGATGCATACTCAAATTCGACAATCAATGCACAAGAACTGTCAAAGAAATCCAAGACAGACATTATGTACCGAATCAAGAAGCTCAAAATGAACCTGAATATTTCTAGTGAACCAAGCATAATCCTTAGTCTTAGCCAAACATTTGCATGTAAAACACTAAAGTTTGCCAAAAAGATGTTTGTTTTAAACGTTTGATTTAAAGTCAACATCAGATCATGCAATGCAATATGCAACAATGAGATATGGCACATTTTCATAATTACAATAGCTGCTGTCAGTCTTTGTAAAAGTTTCAACAGAGAACACTCCTGCAAGTGTCCCTTGCTTTGCTGTTTTTCTAGTTACAGTTACATTTGACAGGTAGATTTGCTTTATCCATTAAATACTATGGCTGTTTACTTAACATAAACCGAGCTTAAGGTGATGCTTACATCAATTAAAAAAAAATATGGCACTGCACACAACAGGAGCCATTCAAAAGAAAACCTGTTGGAGCATAGACGCTGCACACTGAGCGAACATGACTGTAGTTTGGCTATAACTAACTTGGCTATTATTTCAATTTAGACTGACAGTTAAATCTCATTTGATGGATTCATTCATGAGGCATAAGATACAGCATGTAAAATTAATAAGTGAATCGATTTATCAAGGGAAACAATTGACAACACCGAATTAACCATTTATTTTGCTAACACTTCACTAGCAATAACGTCATTCTTGTTCAGTAGGGACGATAATGTTATTACAATATATGTCCCATATAGTTCTACTGTTCTACTTCTCCAACAACAACTCAACAACAACAACTACAACTACTACTACTACTACTACTACTAATAATAATAATAATAATAATAATAATAATGTCATAATATAATTATCATTATTATTTGTAATATAATCTTTAGGAGCTGTTGTGGTGATAGTGGAATTGCTAATACACACTGACTAAGACACTTTCACATATTTTAGATTACAGCATTAGTCAAAATATTAAATGAACATCTGTATGTAGCTAAAACTAGTAAGACTACATGGGTAGTGGCCCCCAGGTAATCTGAGTTTGAGACCCCTGCTTTAACTATAAAGGAGAGTGAATTCAGGGTGCATATTGTGTGTGTACGTGTAAATGTGTAACCTGCATAGACACTGCAGGGGGAGCTGCTGGATAAGGGCCCTGATGCGTCTGCATCTTCGTGTACGACGAGTACAGTGGAGCCTCATTCATCAACTGGTTATAAAGCTCCAGAGCCTCCAGCACCTTCACATTCAGCTCAGACAACTCTGAGTGCTTCCTGCCAGACACAAGAAACCAAATGATTAATTGACTTTACTCCTCTTACAAAAGAGCAATGTGTGACTTAATATTGCTTGTCATTTCAACAAACCTGTCAATCTCCTGTAATTTTTCATCAATTAGTGGGTTCATCTGTGCACATGCACCTATAACGGAAAAAAATTCCTAAAATCAATCAAATGATAAAACACCCAAAAGATCAGGTGGGGTTTCATTTAAAGAAGGTTACATGATTGTTTCAGGTAACATAAGATCTGTATGTACCTTCCAAGTTGATCAGCTCAGTGCTGTCAGGTGCAGCATCAGCAGGATCTGTGTTCTGGAGTAAATACAACGTTTTGTCCATCTTCTCCTGTAAAGGACACACAAGGCACATGTGGTTTTATGTTTTACTTTCTTCTGCAACTACACGTTTACAAAGCAATGTGAAGATCATTTGGCAAAAGTTGGGTACAGGATCATCTTCAAACCTACCTCATCTATATGCACTGGCTCAGGCTCTGCTTTGACTTCTACTGTGGACTCCTCAGGAACTGCTGTCTTCTCTACATATGTAACTAAACAAAATAAAATTAACAAGATCCAGACACTTGAACAAGCAAAGGTACAGTATTTGACAGTATGACCAAAAAGCGCTTTACCTGGTTCTGGTTCTGGTTCTGCATTTAGGTTGGTTGTGACAAAGTTAGATGGAAAAAGCCCAACCCCTCTGTGATTCTCTCCCTTCCACCAATTTGGATCACTATTAAATGACAGTGAAAATATTATGAGCAGATCAAATTAATTATTTAGAAGTATGAAAAACACACATAAATTACAGCTTAAAACAGCTTGGTTTATGCATGATATTAAACGAGACCAGTCAAAAAATCCTTTTATAATAATACTTACAATGTCTCAGGAACTGACTGAGTCTTTGTTCTATTTGTACAATCATATGCAAAAAGGTTTGAACACTCCTGGTCAAATTAAATGTTTTTTGATTTTCAAATGCAAATATCTACTAATTTCAGTGCGCAATTTCTATTAGTTTGCAAAATTGCATATTTTTTTATTTTCTGGGCATATGTGCCAAAACTTTTTCCACAGACCACAATTTGTATTTAACAAAGTTTCTACATTTTATGTTTTGAAAAATTGGTGGGAATTAGTTACCTGTCATCCAGGACCAGAACAACCTCTCCAGCCTTAAAGGTGAGTTCATTGTCCTCAGCTGCCTCAAAGTCATAGAGGGCACGCACTTTACGTGTCTCTTTAACCGCGTTGGTGTTGAAAGGTGGGTCAGGTGTCACAAAGAGTGGCCGAGTCTCAGCTTGCTGCTTCTGTTCCTGCAAGGACAGCTCAATAGCTGCACCAAGGTCACACACAGGGACATTCATCAATCTTTTTTCCCCTCTTCTCAATGAATACCTAATAAAACCTGTATGTATTTGCATTTACGACTAATAAATAATACGACTCTGACCGATCAAAAATGTTTGACAGTACATCAAACAAACTAATAATAAGCAAACACCATCACTCCAAATCAAATTTTAATATCTAGCTTGGAAGCATCACCTTTGGCAAGATCGTCATCATCTGGTGCTCGGCTGGTGGCAGGGTTGCTGCTGGATTTGCTGCTGGAGCTCTGCAGTCAACACAGATCAATGCAGCCTATGGTCAGAAACTTCAAACTGGGTGCAGTCTCATCAATCACCACCACCTCATTTAATATACCTGCCCAAAGCTCTGTGATATTCACTGCAATGCACAACACTGTACAAAAACCCTTCAGGTCATGGATGTTTATTAGGGCTATATGTAGCTGTGCTGCCATCTATATGTGCAAACCAGTACATTCAAGGAAGGAAACACATTGCAAAAAAAAAAAAAAATCAAGGTAAAGAACCCATGACCTAGCGACCTATTTCAAGATATAGGCCAAGACTACTCTTTGATTTCACAACTTTTTATTACTAACAGGGTCAGAGTCCTAAGATTCATGGAAATACTCCTTAAACAAACAGAAACAACTAACTTATGAAGTAGGCTTTCAGCAATGGTCAAACTCAAGGAAACCCACCATATTGAACAACACCCACTGTACTCGTGTTAAAACAAGCATAGAAAATGGGATGTCTCAAGGGACATAATGGGCTCTACTTCAAGTATGTGAAAGGAAATGCCATTGTAAATTCTCAGCCCCGTCTTCTCATGCACATATCTACACATATAACTTCTCTTTCCACAAAGAAACACTGTGTAACAAATAGGATAATAAGCCTAAGCCTATACTGTATACCAATGTAGCAAAGACAGTTAACTACACTGACCCACATCACACATGTGGCAGCTGCAGGACTGATACTGGCAAACCTCACACAATTTCTGGGTAGCCTTCCAAAATGGCTAACATGGTGAGATGAATAATTGATGATTTATGCAGAACCATCCTAAACTGCAGCAAGCCAAGTAAGACATTTATGTAGGCCAAATCACAGAGGACACCCAGAGATTGTTTTTGAATAGATACTTTAAACAGATTGGGAACATTAAGAGTGTGTGTTCAATTGGGATATTAGGCCCTCTGAAAATATGTACTTTAAAAACTACAACTCCAAACCAGACGTTCTCAATTGAAATTTCAACAATGTTAAGATGTCAAACAGTTACTTCAGGTCACAATCAAGGACAGAATTACAGATTTTAACACAGGGCTGAAAACAGTCTGCGATAGAGACAGAAAAACCTTGATTGGGTACCTGAGAGCCAGAGGAGGGGAAGGTCACCCCCTCCTCCTTCAGAGATTTGATGGTGGCACCAATGAGGCTCAGCTGTGGATCTTTCTGGAACTCATCAGCCCACTCCACCATGAGGGCTTTCAGTTTCTCACTCACTTTGGGATGAGCCTGTGAGACAACAGGGGGGAGCAGACAGAGTTATTGGCAGAAATGTCTCAACAACCAATTTAGTCAATGTAACCAAGTTTACAGAGTTATAATAATATTTGTACAGATGGCAGCAGTATCTTACTTTGTTTAACAAGCCTCGCACTTCACTGGCAAAGTCTCTGGAACAGATTTCGAGATGGAAGATTTTTCCACAGTTTGCAACACAAGCACCTAACAACTAAAAAAAAAAAAATTAACAAATGAGCAAGTAACATTTACGATTTGAAAAGTACAATTCTAATACAAATATTATGTTCTGAAATACATATGCAAAAATAAGATATATTTTTACAAAATATCTGAAAAAATACATATCTACAATCTATAATTAGGACTTCTTGTGCCCTACATAAATCATAGCAATGACAAACACTGTAGCTAATTTCATTTGAAGAAGGGCTAAAAATAGAATGAAAGAATGACATCAGGCAGCACGAGACAGTATGATTACTAAGAAAGAACAGCCAGACACTGGTCATTGCAACTTTTATATGCTGCTACACTCTGGAGGATATAATATCACTCTCTCTATAAACCTTCCAGATCCACTGCCAAGATTTATGAGAGCCAAAGAAGCCACCAGAGCACAGAGACACTGAGGGCATCAATGGACTGTAAGAGTGGAGCCCAGGTTTGAAACCAGCCCAAAAGATAGAGATTCAATAATAATTCAAATCAGAAACAAAACCGTTACACTCACTGTTAATGCCTGCATGGCAACATGAGGGACCTTGTGGTTAGCTCGCTTTATAATTGACCTGAGACAATCCTTCGCACTGTGAAAGAGACGTGAAGGCATTTAGAGAAGAGACATAGAGGGTCCTGACCAGCACTGTTGTCTAAACAGAAACCCACCCTCATTTGAATAATGTGAGCTCTGTCACACAAGAAGGACATTACTGTGCTCCTAGAATTCTTCATAAATCTAATTATTTTGACAATGGACACAATGACATGAGTGGCATTATGGGAAGCGAACAGAGCTTCTTATGCCCCATAATTCATACCCAATAGAAGATATTCTAAGCTTTAAACATTGAATCAGTAGGACGACCAAATAAGTGTGTGAATCTCGTTTTAGCTCACCCATTCTGTGTTGTCCCAACCCGGTCACAAATATCCATGATGAGGGCCCAGTCATCTGTTGTGTTGTGTTCATTGGTTACTTTTTCTAAAAGACAAAGACAAAAATTAGGCATGAACAAAATGTGAATCCCAAAAATATTCTCACATTTGAGGTTTTTAATTTTTTAAGAGGATATGCTTCAATTTCTTAGAGCACATAACAGAGAAGCACCAACCAAAAAAATTAAAACCAAAGATGGTACATTGGTGTTGGTATCGGGACATCAACAGAAAATGCTGGATTGGATATCATAGAGAATATTTCTTCCTGGTGGACAGCAGAGCATTCGAGTAGGAGCACGTTGGTCTACTTTTGGATGCTCATGTCAAGTGAAGACCTTCAATTAAAAATAGCTCAGTTTGAAGAAAAATATAGCAGACTGATATCAGCATAGGAGGTGGTTTCAGATTGGCTGAAGGTTTTGATATCAGCACTGGCAAAGAAAAAGCAGAACTCTACTGACTCTACTTAAAACAATAGTTGTAGTTCTGAACTGTTCATCAGAAAGAAAAAAAAACAATAAAAGAATCATGCTTAAGTACAGTGTTATATTCTGTTTTGTATGTTGAACAATTAACCACAACTCAGGCAAAAACAACAACAAATCTAGAACCACATTAAAGAGTTATATTTTGTTACAGAGAAAACAATGTAGAGTGAGCTGCCTTGTGTAACTTATACATTTGCAAATGAAGTTTTACTGACGGTTCCATGACCATAAAGAACAAATTATTACTAAAGTATGTTTTCCACCATTTAGCAGTCCAACATACAAAGGCAGCCCGTGCCCACATGTAAATAAGAATTCTGTACCTAAATATCCTAATTTGCAAATCCATTTGCATCTGTTCTGTTATCATTTCAACATGAACAGGCTCCTTCCTTACACCTGCAACAACCATTACCCAACAGGACAGAATATTTCTCTGTTCTGAACAAGAAACAGCTTTAACCAGCTCTAACCAGCTCTTTCTGAACAGCAACTGAGGCCTCGAACGGGCTGATGACCAAAACATTTTTTAAAATGTGAAAAAGAAAAAAAAAAGATTAAAACTAAAACTTAAAACTGAAAGTAAACGTTAGCTTGACAAGTCATTCCATTTTTGTCAACCCTATAAAACACATTACACTCCTATTCATTACAAGACAAATATTTAATCATCCAGTTCAACTTTTTGTAAACTTTGTGTATTTCAGATTAACTTTCATTTGTTTCCAACGCGAACTGTGACAAACAGCGAACGGTTATCAGTACCAGACCACTGTGGGCCGACCCTCACACTCACACTCACTCTCCGGGGGATTTAACAGTAACGTCACACAGCTCACTTCGATACCCATAAAACAGTCAGATCCATCATCGGTATAACTCCATCGCTTGTATCCACAGTGCTAAAATGAACAATTTTGGTAATTTTGCGAGTCAGTTTCTTAATTTCAATAAAATTGTTATAACACAACAAACGCGGAAATAGCTAGCCTAGCCTGTCAAAGCTAGCTACCTCATCCAAGAACGAATTTTCCCGTTCCACCTTAAACAGCGCAGCGGTTCCATTCTGTATCCTCAGGCGCCAGAACGTAACTGCTGCACATTTAAGGTAGAACGGGAAAATTCAAACAAGACGGTGGCGAATAGGAAGCCAACTTCAGCTTCGCCACTAAAAATGACATCAAATTCAAGTTCAACGTTGAAGTTATTACATAACAACGTCTTTAGTTAAATAACGTTATGTAAAGGGTTCAAATTAGCGGGACAGTAAGAACTATGGAAGCTGTTAAGTTTCTCGGTGTCACTTGTAAAGTTCGACGTTAGCTGAACACTTAGCAAACCTGGCTAAGTCAGTTAGCTTGCTGTGTCACTACTATATCACACAATTATAACACAGTCAGACTCACCGACGTCCTGGTCGAATGGATTTTGGGCAAATAACGGCATTTTGGTTCCGTCTCTCGTTTGATAACAAATGTATAGTGAATTTTAAGCGCGATAAATCCGTATCTGAGTTAGTGTCCGTCTGTGATCCATCGAAGTCCGTTCACACTCAAGTCTGCTCTTCCGTCAACTTCACTAGCTGCCTCCACAATGCCTGAAAGAAATCACACTCTCATTTTGTCATCATGAAGTCCATTAAAAAAACAAACACAGACGTTTTTTAAACATTTCTTATTCAAATGAACTTGCAGAAAGTCCGGATACATTTTGTTTTATAATTCACTGTTGTTTAAAACCGGCAGCACAGATAGGCCTCCTAAACTAACCCACGGTTTGTTTTGGTCAAATAGTGCCGCCTGGTGCCGCGCAGTGGGCTGTACTTCTATATACACACACTCATCCTTACTCATTTATTCATACTCACATTTATTTCACTCTCATTTATTCTTAATACAATTCTGATGTTTCTTGTTATACAAGCTGTGAGATTACATTTGCTGTATATTGTTGTTATCCGGTTAAAAATCTCTTTATTGTTTTTTTGTTCGTGTTAGAAGGGTCGTGGCTACCTTCTTTAAATATGGTTCCACAAGCGTTCTTTAGTAAAGACAGCGGGACCATGAACTGGACTATTCTCAGTCCAGGAGTGACACTGAGGTGTTTAAAAACTCCAGCAGCACTGCTGTGTCTGATGCACTCGTACCAGCGCAACACACACTAACACACCACCACCACGTCAGTGTCACTGCAGTGCAGAGAATGATCCACCATCCAAACGATACCTGCTCTGTGGTGGTGCTGTGTGGGCTAGCAAAGTATGCGGACAAACAGATGGACCTCAGTCTGTAACTTTTGAACTACAAAGTGAACCTATATGGTAAGTGGAGCTGACAGTGCAGAAACAAAGAGGTATACTTATTCTTACGGACGTAACATTAAAGTATACCTCCATGTTTCTACACTCATTATCCATTTTATTAGCTCCACTTATCATATAGGTTCGCGTTGTACTTACATATACATAAGTTTTTGTTATTGTTTCTCATAGTTCTCCAAGAGCACGGACCCAACCAGAGACTGGACATTTCGGCCTGTCCACTAGATGGCGCACCCTCCAAATCGCTCCCTGCTCTTCAGGCCCTCATTCACTGGGAGGGTGAGGGTGGTAACAGTAGCAGTAGCTGTAGCAGCAGCAGCAGCTATTTGATAGCCCGGTCATGTCTGCACCTGCCATGGGGACCACAAAAACAGCTCCTAATGATGGTAGCCACAAGAAGAAGAAAGGCCCGGGCACACTGGCCACCGCCTATCTGGTCATCTACAACGTGGTGATGACAGCGGGGTATGAACACACACACGTCCAGTTTTACACACTTCCTGATCCATAATCCACAGTGGAGGAGCACTAGCTAACGCTACAGCAGAATGAATGGATGGTGTGCTTTAGTCTGCTTCGTTTTACACAGTGGCTTTAGTTATTCGTAGGTCGTTAATATCTGTTTGTACCGAGTAGAAATCAGTGTGCGCGTCTCTATACGGCTCAGCATAAACACGCCGAGTAACAGTGTTGGGACTGAGACTGAATGAAGAGCTGCTGCTTTACTCTAACATTACTGTAGTGGCTCTCTTAGCGAACAACTGACGAACTGATGCACTTTAATGAGCAAATACTGAGTAAAATATACGAGATTATTCAGATAGTTTAACTAAGTGTGGTTATTGCAGCTCGTGTTGTTTATAGGCGGAGTTGCTGGGGGTCTAAACTCTGAAAACTCCGAGTGGCAGTGCTTTACTGTTGCTGTTAGATCAGCAGAGGTGGTTTCAGATGAATCTGGACGCTGTAAGTGCGGTCAGACAGGATTTGTCTCGCTTGCGCAACGTTACAGACATGAGCAGATCGGGTGCAAAGTACTGAGGCAGTTTGATCACCTCATCGCTGCGTAGTCATGGGGGGTTACAGGGATGGGCGATACTGGAAACAGCAATGCCACGATTTTTTTAAGATATCACGGTACGAGGTGATTTAAGTTAGCAGTAGTAATGAGTACAGGTACTCTGTGCTAAAATAATCTCTTTCAAACATGATTTCGCTCTGGATTGCAGGGCCAGAGTAAGTTCCTGTGGTGCATTAGAGCTATAGTGCCCTCTCCCCACGAACACACTGATATTGACCCAATGAAAGGTCTTGGTTTTGCTGGTTTCACTGAAGACTCATTCTTCTGTTTCTTCACATTTATCTAAACTGAACCAGAGTTAACTCCTCAGCTAAGAGCTTGCCAATGCCAGCTCATGAAGATCAGTATAAGATGCCAAAATGATGCTGTTGATGTTTTACTGCCATAGACCCCAATGTTGCCCGATTTGTATGGTGACGCGTTTTGGATATTGGCATCTGGATTAACAGACTGACTGTTGTGGCACGTGAATACGTTTACAGTAAACTGAATGTTTCAGAAAGTGTTAACAGATTAAAATAATTTAAAACTGTGCACTTTTTCGGAGCAACCTTTTGGTGCCCCTGGCCAGTCAGCCAAGTCACTCAGATAACCTATATGTTAGAACTGGCCATGACTGATTGGATTGTTTTTTCCATTTTTGTCTCCTAAATTTACACAAAATAGAACTTTACACTATACTGTCAACGTTAACCATACAGAAAGTGCATACCGGTTACTCATTCATTCATTCACTTATTTAAATTTATCTTTTGTAATGTTCTTTCAAAACAACCTGAAGCACCTGGTAAATGTCATGCACTGCAGTTAACTGTCATGGTGATACTGTGAGGAAAGTGCACAAAATAGAATTTAAAAAGGCTAAATATAAATTGGGACATCAGTATTTTATGGGCATTATATCGTGGACATAATGCACATTATCTGTCAAATAAACTGACAAAATGAAAACAATCATTATTTATCATGAGTTAGGAGTAGGCCATATGATGATAATTATCATTATTGTGATAAATTATGTAACAATATGCTTCTTTGAGCATATGGTCGATATCTGTAATACTTAAAAACCACTGACTGCACACTACATTGCAAAGAGAGCACAGTTAGGCCTGTTCAGTTGGATTTAAGTCAGCGCAGCGTGTGACATGTTAAATAAAAGTCATTGTACTTTGTATTTTGATATTTAGGAAATGTGGCACTGCTGGTTACTTATTGTGTCTACAAACTTATAAAAACCCCAGAAGAAACTCAATATTGTGATGCATATCTTGTTCCTTTAAAGTAGCACGGTTATATTTTTGCCATCTAATTCATCTGATCCACAGTGTCTCCTATATTTGCTGTTCATTATGTCAAGTAGAATTTTGTCATTGTGCTTTGATGGTAAGAGTCTGTTCATTGTCTTATTGTGATATGTGATGTAGCAGCCTGCAGTGCTGGGCCTATAGCACCCTCCCCCACCTTCAGCCTCTACTGACAACTCCAAATCTGTGACAGTAAGACAGGGTCCTAAGAGGATAATATCAGCCATGTTTGTCTGGGCTCTTTGTGCTCCAGGCAGCCATGAAACTGTGAGACAGAGACACAGCGTTGAGGAGATGATTGGTTAAAACATACCTACTGAACAGAGCTTTAACTGTGTGGTTCTGACCACAATTGAGTCTGTCCTGTGGTGACAGTGTCATGTGATAAACCACAACTAACATGGTATTGTCTCAGATACTGCTTAAAATAAGTAATCTGTCCTTCAGGAAGTCAGTGATTTAAAATCTCCACAGCTGAACATGCTCTTGTGGTCCAACTGTCCAAACAGGTTCTTTCTTTAGTTTTAGCAAATCTTTAGCAAAGACCCCTCTGGCTAGAGGGCAGGATTTGTGGGTATTCAGTGAGTTGATTATTAGACTGTGTAATATGATGCCTTTTCTGGTATCATGTAAAGGTTATAGTTATGGGTTATTCTATGTCAAACTTGGAAGTGTTTTTTTTTTTTTTGAAAAATTTATTGTTTTAACAGTAGGACAAAATTTTGTCTTTGAATGTCTCTTTCATTGTAAGTTTGTATCTGTGGCTCAGATTTGGGCCAAGCTTTTTCAGGAAGCTTATCAGAGTAAGAGTGCTGATTACACATTACACATCAGGCCAATCATCAGGGGTTCATTTAGTGGGACAATGCCCCCCCAGCCAATCATCATGCCCCAATAAACCCACTATTTTGTGCATGCTTCAATAGTGGCAAGAAACAAAGTGTTGTGCTGCTTGTCACACACATGGGATAAAGGCAACATAGATTATTATTGGTGGGTTTGCGAACATCATATATGCTGCTTTTTAGGGATACGCTATATGTTGTGGGAAGATAAATTAGCATACACTATGTAGACTTTAGTGACTTGCTGTAAATGTGGCGTTCCTGTTGATTCTCACTAAATGTGTTTCCTTTGCAAAAACGGTGTGTATGTTTGTTCATTTTTTTTTCTCCCTCGTAATTTTGTTCTGGTGCTGGGACTGCCACACGTAAGCCTAAGGGCACAATGCCAAATGTGTCAACTAGACGGGTATAAAGCCCCCCAGCATTTGGCTGTGGAGCAGTGCAACTGTCCTAGCTGGATTGATGGAGCACCGTACTTGGAAATTTAGAGTTTGTGATCCGTTTGTAAAATTATCATCCAACACCACTTACTGATCTCCCTAATGTTCTTGTGGCTGAATATAGTCAAATCCTCACAGCAATGTTCTAACATCTAATGTGAAGCCTTCCCAGAAGAATAGAGGCTATTACTGCAGCAAAGTGGGACAAACTCCCTATTAACACCCTTGATTTCAGAAAGACACCTTATGCTTCTTTCGCACTCAAAGTACATTGAAACAATGATATCCAATTCCATGTGGTCCTGTTAGTAATTATTAATCGCAAATTTGACAATGAGATATAAACATAGCCTAAAAGTTCTCTCTGTTTCAGGTGGTTGGTCATCGCTGTGGGTCTTGTCCGCGCCTACCTTACCAGAGGCAGCTACCATGGTCTTTACTACTCAATAGAGAAGCCGCTGAAGTTCTTCCAGACTGGTGCTCTTCTTGAGGTAAGTGCTGAGCTGTGAGAAAAGTGTTTTCTTCCAGACAGACTGTTTCTGGAAGGCACCATGCACAGTTTGGGGTCAGGCATGCTCCCCTGACAGTGTGATGAAGAATGCTTTGGCTCAGGAGTGTGTACTTACAAAGTAGTGAGCTATTTTTAGATCAAAACTCCACTACTGTGCTGTCTTCCAACTCAGACTTCTTTATGGCAGCTGTCCAGTGTGCAAATGAGGCGTTATAGTGACACTGTCCAGATTAATTCCATCAGTGCCAGTTACAGTGCAGTCATCTCAATGAGAGCTTTGCAGTCAGCATACATCTTTATTCAGATTTGATATGTTGGTGGGCTTCTCAGAGATGCCTCAGTCATTTGTATACTGTTCATTTGTTTGTTTAATTCTTGGAATAACTGTTAATTACACAACCGTGGTTGTTAGTGTGTTTTAGGTTTCTTTCTTGGTCATTAATGAGAAATATATGTGTATATATATTCTAACCGTTTCTCCGTTTTCTTCACAGATTTTGCATTGTGCTGTTGGTAAGTGCTGTCTCCTTATTATAGTGAACGTTACTAAACATCTATACACTTTAAGGGTTGCCATGGTTATTCTAACATATAAGTATTCTATTTATATATAAAATAATAAATAGAATACATAGATAATATAACAAAACACACAAATAAAAGTAAAAAAGTTTTTGTTACAACAGCGCCACGGTACAGTTCATTTAGAAATGCACATATTCGAATGATGGCCTCATCCAGACTCATCTTTATATAAATATTCACAGTCGTATCTGTAGTGAAACATTAAACAGTGCAGTAGTGGTGCTGTGCAAACACAGTGTGAGAGGTCCAGTCAGCCTGATGGTGTTGTTGTGGTAAAGAGGCTGGCTTACTGCATGTGTGGAGCACAGGGAGAACAGTCCACACCTCATTATCTGAGACTTAAAGCTAGATGTGACCTTTCAGAGTACAAACAGCCATCCCTCCTGCAGCTGTCTGCTGCTTGTCCTTACTTGCTTACTTGTGTTCAGATCCCACAGGCTCACTTCACTTTGTAGTGTGCTCATACAAGATCAGTATGTAGTAGGGGTTCACATATCAGCAATAAATAAGAATAGAATTATAATTAATTATAGTTATTATACTTAATTCAATATTGAATTATACCTGATAATTACTGCAATCATTTAAGTTAATTCAATTGAATTTAATGTAGTTCTTTAATGCTGTTTTTAGCTTGTGCATGCATTGATGCATGTTTAGTCAATAGTGCAGGATATTTGACACTTTAACGCAAGAAGGTTATGTTAATTTACTGATTAGTTAAAGCAGGTATGTTAAAGTGGGGGGTAAAAAACACTAAATAGAAGACCAGGTTCAATTGTCCACCCAGGCAAGAATGCCACTGCTATACCAGTAAGAGTCCTTGGGCAAGACGCCTAACTTTACCTTTAGCTACTGTTGTGACTGGCTATTCTAAAATATTTTTCAGCTGAACTGTTTACATTAAACAGTGTAACAGTCTGAGTTCTAACAGTCTTACCCTCACTGCACTTCATATGTGGGTTATGGGGCCCAACTGATTTGGGAAAATTTTGTGGACAATACTGTACTGATTTAAAGGAGCTAAAAATTCTGATATATTGGCTGATATGATTTTATTTTTATGCATTAGATTTTAATTTTTTATTATTCCTGTATATAATTGGACTGAAATGACAGTCAGTTCTCATTGGTCATCTTTCTTGAACTCAAACAGCAGAAACTCACAAACTTTTAAATATAATACAATATAAACATTGTAGCACTGGGGGAGGAACTGGCCAGAATTCCTTGTGTTTTTAGTTTCTGTTATCTGCCTCTTATTTCTTAATTTCCATTAGTTCTCCTCATAAAAAAGTTGTTGTGTGTGTCAGGACATGTTTTTCTTATGGAAAAGTTTAGATATGGATACATTTTACATGTTTTTGTTTTACGAACCATGATTTTATTTAGATTTACCAGTTATATGGTAAATGGCTGTCATATAGTTGACGGGGATGCTTCATATATTGGCCTCCCAATCGAAAAAGTGACAAATTTTTGTTGCGCTATTGGCAATATTTTTGTTTATGCTAATAAAACCTTGTATCATCATCTGACGAACCGACATACTGTCATTTGCAAAAGTTTAGATACCCCTGGTCAAATGACACATTTATTGATTTTGTTAACACATCCTCCACAGAGAGGATGTGTTAACAAATAATCTGAGTTTCACATATTGGAAAAGAAGAAACAAAACATTAAATGTTCCACAACCTTTCTGCATGCTGCCTTTTTTGTTTTATATTTTTTCCAATATGTTAAATTTAGCAAATAAACAGTAATTGTACATTTGAATGTGCAGAAGTGAGTCCTGTGTAGAGGATGTGTTCATGTATTTCCACTTAGAAGATTTTACATATGACTGTATATCAGTCAGACTAATAGATTATAATGTGTGGTTGTTTTACAATACAAAAGAAATTCCATATCAGGGAATCCTTGGTTTATGAAACCTTTGATTACAGCTTAACAGTACAGTTTGAATGCCTATTAAGTGAAGCATGTTTGTCACCATGTGTAAGTAGAAATGCTTGTCTCCACACTGTGTAAGTAGAAATACTTGTCTCCACACTTTTGTAGGAATTGTGCCCTCCTCTGTGGTCCTGACTGGATTTCAGGTGATGTCACGGGTGTTCCTCACTTGGGCTGTGACGCACAGTGTGAGAGAAGTAAGTGTGTATGAATGTGCAGTGATACATATATTGTTTTATCTTTACTTCAGAGATTATTTATAAAACTGAATGAGTTTTTCTTGAATTTTAATGCTGTCTAGAGTATGCAGCCCACATTGTAGACCTACAGGTATGAAAATAAAGACGTCTTTGGAGCTTGGCATTTTTCATAGTCTGTGAACCTTTGAAAGGTCACTGAGCATACCCTCTCACAGTGAAAGAGACCTGTCTGCTCTTTTATTTATAAAACAGTGCCCTCCAGTGGTATGTGATAGATCTCAAAGCTAACTTGAAAAGTAGTTAAAAGTTTTATTTTGAATGCGTTGTTTATTGTCACGTCCAGTCTCTTGTTGGGTTTAGTTGACTTTTACTCTGCTACTGTCCTTACTCTTATGGTTGTTAAATGATGTGTTGGTAACTAAGGTCCAGGTGTTGTTTACTCACCACAGAGAAAGACATCTGTGCTGAAACTTAAAGGACTGTAAGTTTTTTTTTTTCCTCAAGAAAAACCTGTTTGAATCTGAAATGACCAGTAACATTTGTATCTGTATTCATCCGCCTCGACGTTATGATGGCCGTTTTTTATACTCTCTCTTTTTACTAAAATAACATTTAATGTGTGTAAAGTCATACCTGCGAATTGAGCAATTTGCAGGTTATAGATGCTGCTTGGACTGCTTATGGTGTGCATATGTTTCAGTTCTCTCTCTCTGCCTGGTGTGTGAGTTTGCCTAAATGCAGTGAAACCAGTAGAAAAGATGTAGCTGCATGGGTCTGAATTAACTTCGTCTGCAAACACCGGTATTTAAATGAACCTTCTCTCACTTTGTCTGAGTCCAGTATGCTGTGTCCCTTTGCTACAGGTCCAGAGTGAAGACAGTGTGCTTCTCTTTGTGGTGGCTTGGACCATCACAGAGATCATCCGTTACTCCTTCTACACCTTCAGCTTGCTTAACCACCTGCCTTACCTCATTAAATGGGCAAGGTAAAGGCATATTACACTCTGTTGTGTGTGTATATATATATATATATATATATATATATATGTAATATGTTTGTGTGCCATCATAAAAATTATTCATTCAAAAAGCTGGTTTTGCAGCTTAAATTTCCAAAATAGGCCATATGAACTGGGGATTAAAAGGAACATGTTGAAACCCTAAGTGTGTTTACATATGACATCAAATCTAACTCACCTGATGCAGATAATCAAGGACTGAAAACAGTCACCAAGTGTGGTGGATTAGGGATTAAGGTGAACATTGGTGCCCAGCACTGAGGTGGTTGTGTTTAACGTTTCTCTGCAGATACACATTCTTCATTGTGCTGTACCCCATGGGAGTGACTGGAGAACTTCTCACTATCTATGCTGCGCTGCCTTATGTTCAGAAGACAGGCCTCTACTCTGTCACTCTGCCCAACAAGTATAACTTCTCCTTCGACTACTATACCTTTCTCATCCTCACCATGGTCTCATACATCCCTTGTAAGTGTGTCATTATTTTTATCTGGTATATAAATATCCCATCTGAAGGCCAGTACATCATTTCAGCTGTTTTATTCCTAAATGAATTTCTGCTAAATCAGTGTTCCAGATGAGTTCATATAGAAATGCACTGTTCTAGTTAATAAGATATTATTAATGAGCATTTTTGCACCTGCTCCAGTGTTCCCCCAGCTCTACTTCCACATGTTGCGACAGAGAAAGAAGGTCCTGGGTCACGTGGAGGAGTACACCAAAGTGGAGTAAACAAGCATCCAGCGCTCCACGCAAAGCAGACTGATCCTGTGGAGAAAAGGGAAAAAGATGACCTTTCCAATCCACACCTGGCTGATTTAAAACAAGTAAAAAGTCTGCTTGACGATAAACAGAGCCCAGCTTTTTTTTTTTTTTCCCAAGAACAAGAAGGTACCTGAAGATGATTTTTAACAATGTGAGTTGATAGAGAATGGGCTCTTGCAGTGTGTGATTTTAAGGATATTGATAACAATATGATATCAATGGTTTGAGCCCCCTTGAGAGGCAAATGCAGTTCTTCATGCTAATACAATGCTTACTGGTTTGTTTTTAATGAATCTAATATGGTTGCACTGACTTTAGTGAGGGAAATAGGTAGTTTTGGCTTTCACCTGAAGTAACTGTAGAATTGGAAATGATCACCTTTCCTTTACAAGAGCTACTCGAACATACCTCTCCCTTGTACTGTGCCCTGTGTATTTGGAAGTATCAGTAGCAGTTTTGTTCATGCACAGGCAAGGGGCCGAGCTGACGATTAAGTCTTGAATCTGTGTTTTTGTGCTTTCTACATGACCCTTTGTCCAACATATGATCACATTCCTTTTGCTAGATGTTTTGATGGAAAACTAATTTTTGAAGTACAAAACAATTTCAGTTATTGTTGCTCTTCACTGATTTGCTCAGGACTTGTATTCTCTGTACTGACTCCTTGTCCATGACTTCTGGTTGCATATTTCTTTCTTCTTTCAGTGTTAATTGTTCGATAAGGGTCATGTTAATGACTTTAACGAGAATTGTGTTGTTGGTAGTTGTTTTGTTTAATATTGGCTGTGGGTTGTTGGTTTGTAGCTGTTTGTTTGGAACGTGGTCCCTTCAGCAAGTAGCACTCGAGCTGAACTGACTGTACAGGAACGCCATAGACGTGACTTGCGTTTATGTTTTCCCTAATTCACTTTACTCAAGCTTTTATTATTTGATGAAACCTTGACATCTCACCTCGAAGTCCTGTCTGTGGCTGATTTCCTTTAGTTGTTTCCAAAGTGTTTGATTGAAAGAGGGCAGCATTTGGGCTGGAAGAGCACGCGCCGGCAGGAAGCTAGTGCAGGCCCTAGCTCCAGGGCCAATTGGATTAGACTGCCTCCAGTCATGCATTTCCAATGAGTAAAATCTAATAATGTGGTGAGCAGGCCAGGAGTCAGGAGTTGCTGAGCACTTCATTGTCCGTCTGCCCTCGCTGTCAGCAGCAACAAAACTAAGCAAGCCCAAGCCTCCAAGATGGGCTTGCTCATTAGTTCTAATGCACAAGTTGCAGACTTGCCTTTTCCCCACTGTTTGGGTCTGAACTCTTCCAAAGGGTAAAGTATACAAGCACAGTCAGTAGCTCTTTCTGGAACAGCTGAACTAATTAATCACAAACAAGCTGAAAAATCTGGTAATCAAAAGCAAAATCTCAATATTTTTCTGTTTGAATATTTATGATCCAAGCTACATTTATGACATTCACCTGCTTGCTGATATGCTATGTTACCTGTAAATCCCCTGAAAGAAATGCTGACCTCAATTAATGTTCCTACACCATAACTACAAAGGAAACGGTTGACATGGCAAGACCTTTTGGAATGTGCATCTGGAATTAAACTGCATGAAAGATCAAGTTACACCATAACTGGGGTGGTAATGCCTAGGTTAACTCGTTAGAAGCATGACCCTTAATGCTATCAGACAACATTTGGGCTTTTGATACAAAGGATTTGCATGGGACCAGCAGACTTTGTATGATTAGTAAAACAGTTCTATATTTACAATAAACTCATAACCTGGAAAACCAAGCCAGTAATGGTCTTTTTTTCCTCGCTCTCTTATCTACAGCACCATGCAAAAGTATTCAGTAAAAAGTTCCTTTATTTAATTTCCAGTCAAAGTGGCCATTATGTAGTAGTTATTCATTTCAGGAGATATCTCTGAGGAGATGTATCAATTTGCATAAAGAAGGAGAAGGCCAAAGGAAAATAGGTGAAAAAACAGGAGTTTCCAAAACTGTTGTTAAAAGGAGTGAAAGTTAAAGAGAAAACTGGTCTTCTAACAACCATGCAAGACCTGATAGACCACCAAAACTGTCCCCATCAGATAAACAGTACTTGAAGCTTTCATCTTTGAGAGAGAGGAGAAAATCAAGCTCCACTCTTGCTTTAGGTTTGAAAAAAATGTGTTTCTGTTCATCCTTCAAGACAACTCAACACTGAAATAATCTGTACCTGTCAAGAACTTATTATGGAGAAAAGGAAAAAGACAAAAAAGAACATTCGCGAATCAAACAGAGAAAATGCTGGTGTTCTCAAATGCTGGTGACTGACCATAAAGTCCAGACCTCAACATCACTGAACGTGTTTAGGATTACTTGAATTGTGAGAACCAACTTCTAAGACTGAAAAAATATATTATGTATGTATGTATGTATGTATGTATGTATGTATGTATGTGTGGGCGGCACGGTGGCGCAGTGGGTAGCGCTGTCGCCTCATAGCAAGAATGGCCTGGGTTCGATTCCCGGCCGGGCGACCAGGGTCATTTCTGTGTGGAGTTTGCCTGTTCTCCCCGTGTCTGCGTGGGTTTCCTCCCACAGTCCAAAAACATGCAGTCAGGCCAATTGGACATGCTAAAATTGCCCCTAGGTGTGACTGTGTATGTCTGTCTGTCTGCCCTGCGATGGACTGGCGACCTGTCTAGGGTGTAGCCTGCCTTCTGCCCAATGACAGCTGGGATAGGCTCCAGCACCCCACCGCGACCCAGTAGGATAAGCGGTTTAGATGATGTATGTATGTATATATGTGTGAATATACATTTAGCTATTGAGAATTGTAATTTTCTGTTAAATATGTTTTCTACTTTCATTCCTGACACTGAACAATGAGCAACTTGCACTTAGTGGTCATTTTGACTGGAAATTAAATGATGGGTGGCATCTGACTTTTATACAATACTCTATGTGCCAGATTCTACAAACAAATTTCAGCTTCTTTAAAGATGCAATTAAGTAGAACTTCCTCACTTCGCTTGTCTGCCACATATTACTGCCTTCTCGTCACTACGGACATATTGTGATGCAAAATTCTATCTAATGTCTGGTTAATTATGTATATTTATTGCTTGTGTGTTTATTGATTCAAATATGCATACTCCCCAGAATGTCTCCAGAAGTTCACTTGTAAAATGTTATAATTGTTTTATAGCATTTCTCTGCTTCAGCACCACAACAAGCAACTTTTTCTTCAACTTTGTGGAATAATGACATGCCACTGGATCAAAAGTTCATTAATCATTCACATGATGGCAGCAGAGCTCTTTAACACTGAGCACACCTCACCCTCCCTGTTCAGCACAGTAGTATGCACTAATTAAGACATTTAGAATGGACTGAGAATGTGTACCTCTTCTATTAAGAGAAGCAAAAGTCTTGAGTAGCAGCACACAATAAATATTAGGACTAGACTCCTTGACATCTTTAGCAAGTCCCACATGTAGCTTTTCAAAGCTGTTATAGTTCAGCTCCCTGGTGCCATGTAATATGGACCTTCTCATCATTTCGTAAGTACAGTGTAAGGTGAATTCAGATTTTATGGGCCATCTAGGAAAACACTGGGCACTTTAAGAATCTTCTTTATTCTAGTTTGAGTTTATGCTTAGTGTATTCTATTTAAATGAGCAAAAGGAAATAGTATTAGCAGGCTAATTACAAATTGTAAGTGGGAAACTGCGTAAAATAATGGTTTTATGAGCCCAATATTAGCATTAAACACACTGTTCCACTAAATCCACCCTTTACAGAAAGCATCCAGTAATGGTGGCTGCAACCAAACCGCATACTACCATATTAAATAGTATGTCAAAAATAGTACACTACCAATAGAAGTCCATTCATTAGTGTATTATGTGTAGTATAGTATAATGTGGCTTTGGACACGGCTTGTGTTTCTGTGACTACATTAATGAATTCTTTGTTGCTTTGCTGTTGTATTTTTAGAAATGGAGCAAGAATAAAGTAGATGGAGAGTCAATTTGCAGTGTCAGAAAAAAAACAATCCAGTTTAGGGGTGGGCAATATGTCAAAAATATCACAATACTTCAAGACATTTTCATAATACACAATATATACCATGATATTTAGTTTTTTCTGAGATTTAATAAGTTGGAACAGACAAAATGGAACCTGTAGGGCCACATATAAAATACAATGATATTGATAATAATGATAATGTATGATAATCGTCATGCTACAACTACATAGTTTTTTTTTCTGTGTTTTACAAATTGCACTGCACTAAAGCCAGTTAAACAGGCATAATTAGGCTCATTTCATAATAAAAAACATGTAGTTGGCCAGAGTAAGTACTGATGATATCCACAATATGCTCAGAAAAGTATTGTGACATAATTTATCACAGAATCAACAAAATATTGTCATATTGCCCACCCCTAATCTGGCTGCTGGGTTCCGAGTAAAGTTAGTAAAATGAGTTTCTGAGCGAGCTGCAGTGTCTTTTTACAGGCCAAACCTCTTTAATTCAAGCAATGGGCCTCATTCACCAATGTCTTCCTAATTTTTGTCTTTAAATGTTGTTAAGAAATGTCCTACGGAGAACTCCACATCAGATTCATGACGTGTTTTTAAACCACAGGAGTGTTCGCACCTTTGTGCTCTTGGGTGTGTGTGTATATTACGTTCTTACCTAAGAACAAATCCCAAATAAGAAGACATTGGTGAACGTCAGAATCTTCGTAAAAACTGCGTAAGTGGGTTTTAAGAAGATTTTTTTCTTAAGAACGGTTAGTGCATGAGGCCCACTGTCACTGGCAAACATTTTCAGTCAGAAGTCTGGCTGCTACGTCTTTTTAAAAACAGATGGCACAGAAAAATGTCCGCAAACATTAAAAATAAACAATTAGAGGCTAATTGTCGTTTCATAAACGCGTTCTTTTCTGAGGTCTGTGATTTCGTGTTACTGAGAAACGCCTCTTGTGCGTTATGCTCTTCATTTTCGTCAGAACTCATTCTCTTCTCTCCTCTCCAGCTGTATTTAATACACGGGCAGCGCAGAGTGACGCGCGCTCTGACCAATAGGAGAGCGAGAGCGAAACACATTTAAAGCAGATAGCCAATAGGAGTATTCGAGGGGCGGGGCTTGGAAAAATCATACTTGGTTGAATGGCAATACAAAAGCCCAGTGAAGCAGCGAAAGGGCTGATGCATAATCAATAGTGTATTCATCGGCCTCAGGAAAAACAGCGCTGCACTGATCCAGCTCACACAGCGCAACCGACAAACAGCAGCCGGACTCGGAGGCGGACCGTGTCGGGGGAGGATTCATCGTTTCGGTGCGTTATCGACATGAGTGAAGCGTGTCCGGCACGAGAGGCTCTTCCCACCGATGGACAGCGGTGAGGTCAGGACGGTGTGAGGGTTTCTGCTGCTGCGGTGCATCTTTTAATGTAAGGGGGGATATATGAGTGGTCGGTGTTTCTCCGAGTCAGAGCGCCGCGCTCTGCCGCTGCTTTTGACGGGATCGTGATGGTTTCTGAGCGGAGAGGAGACCAGCCTGCAGGCAGCTCCACGCACAGGTGAACGGCTCTGTGGGAGCGGTGGATGGATGGACGCACGGATGGATGAGTGCAGGCTGCACCATGGAGCCGTTTCCTGCGTTTTCTGATCCGGCGGTCGGCGCACTCTGGGCGCTCGGGCTCTGCTCTTCGCTCCACACGTCCCACAGAGGCATCTGGGAAACATGACGGACCCTCTGGCACTTTCTTTCGCGCTTCCTCTTTTTCTGTTTTGGGAATGTAAAAACGCGCCTCTTGCCCAGCAGCTGTTCTAATGATCCCCCCCATCTAAGAAGTAAAATGAGGATTGGCGCTAAAAGACACGGAGCAGATTCCCTGAGCGGTGGGGCTTTACTGCTCGGGGGCGCAGGAACGGGTCCCCAGTGATTCGACTCATTAGAGTATATTTAATTATTTTAAAGGCTCTCTCAAGTACTTCGAATCAATTGGCGTTGAAGCTGTTGTTTTACGAGCTGGTTTCATTTGAACACCTTGTTCATGCTGTCTCATGCAGGCTTATGAAAATGATGCAAGCAGACTCTCCAGGGCTTCTCTCCAGCTCCTGTTTGTTTTAATAAACATAGTATGTGTTGTTTCTCAGCCTCCATAGAACTCGTAACTATTTCTGACTGCAGTCCTAAAACACTACATATCTTAAAATGCTGACAGTCAGTGTTGTGGAAACTAACATTTCTCCCTGATTCCCCCACCCTGGACTCTTTAGAGGGGTCTATAGTAGTGTTTGTGACAGCTCCATCATCATCATCATCATGTCCAGGTCGAACAGCGTGAGCCCCCCTGGGCTCGGCCTGAGGGGAGGGACCGAGCACAGGTCAGCGTGGGGCGAGCGCGAGCCCGTGGCCAACGGCTGTCCGGCCAGGCCGGCGCGCTCGAGCGGCCGGTGGAGGGAGGTGGAGGGCCGAGGGACCACCACTACGACCACGACCGCCCCAGGCAAGACGAGGATGAGTCTGAGGTCCAAATCCGCGTGGCAGGAGCGCGGAGACGAGGGCGGGGTGCGCGCCAAGTCCGTGGAGCTCGGCCTGGACGAGCGGAGAGCCCGGACCAAGGAGGAGGAGATGATGGAGGAGGAGGAGGAAGGGCGCGGGGAGGAGGAGCGGCAGCGGCAGCAGTTAGCGCCCGACGCTCGCGCCTTCTCGGCGGCCGCGTGCTGCAGCGGCGTCATGCGCGTCTTCAGCTCCAAGAAGTTCCGCTCGGAGAAGCTGGAGCGCCTCTACCAGCGCTACTTCTTCCGCCTGAACCAGAGCAGCCTGACCATGCTGATGGCCGTGCTCGCGCTCGTATGCGCCGTCATGCTGTGCTTCCACTGCGCGGGCGGCCCGTGCCACACCGCCTATGTGCTCACCTTCTCGCTGGCCATCGTGCTCGTGCTCGCGCTCATGCTCGCGTGCAACCGCAGCGCGTTCCACCAGGACCACATGTGGCTCGTGTGCTACGCCGTGATCGCCGTGCTGCTCGTGCTGCAGGCCGTGGGCGTGCTGCTCGTCAGCCCGCGCAGCGCCTCGGACGGTGTGTGGTGGACCGTCTTCTTCATCCACGTCGTGTACACGCTGCTGCCCGTGCGCATGCGCGCCGCCGTCGCCACCGGAGTGGTGCTGGCCGCCATCCACGTGGTGGGTTCGTGGAAGCTCAACGAGCAGGACGAGCTGCTGTGGAAACAGGTGAGTGGGCGAGCACGCTTGAAGGGTGGGGGTGGGTCTGTGGGGTCTGTGCGAGTGCGCTGCTGAAAGGTGGCCTTCAGGGTGCGTCCAGGTGTCCTGGACCATCAGGTGATGTTGAATGCTTTAAGAAATCCTTGTTTATTCCAGTTTTTCCAGTTTCAGCTGATGCTTACTAATGCTTACTCCAGAGTGCGTTCAGGTGTCCTGGACCATCAGGTGGTGGCGAATACTTTAAGAAGTTCTTGCTGATGAGTACTATTCATTCTAGAAGAGCAAAACCAAAGGTGGTATCTAATAAAACGGTTAATAAAACTTCTCAGATGAGAAGTGCTGATCTAGGATCTGTTCCCGTCAGTAAAGTCATACTGTAAAGAATGAGAAGTCTGCTCGACTTTTACAGTCGCTGATTACATGTCTTTTCTTGAGCTGACTCAACTTGAAGACCCCAGAGTTCACCCAACTCAACCTTCTTAGTTGAGTCAAAAATTCTCCCAGCTACTGTTTCTAGGTCTGCATTTCGGTTAGATAAACAAAATTTGAGATTTTTTATTTATTTATTTTTGTACTCTTTCTTCACTAGCTGGCACTTTTTTATATCACACAGTCCTATGTGGCATTTTCTCCTCTTGGGCTTCTAGATATGGTCAGCTGTGGCATTGCTGGGATTCAAACTCACAATCTCCTGATGCTGAGATTAATTATTAGACAGTTGCACCACATGAGACTATGCCACACTTCAAACTTAGAACAACAAATATTTTCTCCAGTGTATTAAACATTTATGGACACACAATCTGAGTTGCTCCATGTGTTCCCGAGTTCTGCAACAGACTAAGCCATCATCCCAAGAGGAGGTTGTGAGTTTGAATCCCAGTAATGCCATAGCCATCCATAAGTTTGTACCTAATAGAAAAAGTGTCTAGTAGGATTGTGTGATGGAAAGAGTCTTGGCTTGTGGGGAATTGAGTATTAAAACAATTTAAGAGAACATTTGACTCAACTAAGATGTTTGAGTTGGGTGACCTCTTGTGACCTCAAATTGAGTTGAGCCGACCTCTCATTTTTAACAGTGTAGTAAATAAGAGAGGAATATGATCCTAGATCAGCACTCCTCCTCTGTGACACTTCATCAATATGGGCCAGTGTCTGTCATTTAGGGTCCATACATGTCCAGCTGATGCCCATAATATCTGAATCTGTCCTTTTAAAAGTGCTTGAAAATGAACAAAGGACAAGCATAAGAGTGCATGCAGCTTATTCGGGGCAATAAGGTAATATCAAATACTTTAAGACATCTTTGCTGATGCATACTAGTGCATTCATTCTAGAAGAGCAAAACAAAGCAAACCGTGTCTCTATCATTCAGGGTCCATACCTGTCCAACTAAGGTCAGAAAAGAAACAAGGGACAAGCATGAGAGTGTATTCAGCTTATTTGGCGCCATCAGTTAATAGAGAAAGACTCCTGGAGCAGGATTTTTCACAAAGCTAGGTAACGTAAGCCAAATGTGAAGACTGGGGCCCATAGGAGTTTTCTTTACATTTCCCTACTGTTAGATAGACTTGTCTATTGTTCCAGGTCCAAATCCCATGTTGTGAAACAGCCCCTTGATGTTTGAGGAGGGGATTAAAGTTTGAATATGCTGCACATCAAACAAAGTTCAGTGAGTGGTCACTGAGGAAAAGGAGAACTCAAATACAGTTATTGACATTGGTTATGCACAATGATGTCAATCTTATTGGCATTGCAGATATTTGCTTTAAAAATTGACAGCAGACAGATTTGACTGATATTTCAAGCCGCTTTTTGATGACATATTTGTACTCCCGAAGAGCAGAGAGCATATGTAACACTGCAATTTACTTTTGTCTTTTTTGTGTGTAATTTTAAACCTCCACTTACACTTTGCATTGTGTTAAAATTTCATAATGAACAGATCAATAGAAATGCTCCAGAATTACTACATCTCTATCATTATTTCAATATGAAGTAACATTTACTTTTACCTCATTATAGTTTTAAGCTTCACTATACACCTCTGGAGACAGGCATCAATGGTTCCACTGGTTGCTACGGTAACTGACACCAGCCCAAGCTCTTGTTTCGTCATTTTCTGTTGGCTGGTGCATTCCACAGCATGCATCTATCAGATGCGCGATCAGATGCCATTCAAGTGCTCTGAGTGGTGGAGAGAGAGGCTTGTGATTAATGATTAAGCAGAATGAGAGAAATATGTTGATATGGCTGTCCAAATGGTACAGATGGGTTTCCATCAGCCGTTTGCCAAGATCTTTAGAGTAGTGTGGTGGGGGTGTGCGAGGAAAGGCACTTTTCCCTAAACTTTTTGGACTCCTTGAATGGCGATGCAGTGTTGGCAGTATCAGCGCATAGGCAGAATTCTGTAGCTGCACATCAGGGCCACTTTCATGTGCCAGATGCAATGTGCTGTAGCCAGGGAGATCGTTTTTATGGGCTCTCTGAGATTGTGCTTGGTTCGGTGAATCAGTCATGTGATTTGGACCATTTTGCCAAGGATAACTTGGTCTGGATTGTTTTCTTTACTAACACGATTTTCCCAGAAAACTATGCTAAACCACGGTGGTTTGATGACTGGAAAGCCCTTTGGAAGACGAAACATAGGGTGACTAAGGCCTGTATGATCTTTTAGGTGTTGCGCTCATGTTCAAGTTAAACTCCTGGCTCCCTTTTGTTATGAGTTACTCTACACCTTTTAAACCTCCTTTCAACCTCCTACGTTTTATTAACTGTAATGTGATTGCATTTGCCCTGTCCTTTCATTTCAGTGAGTCATCTTGTCACACTTTGGGAACTGCTGGTATTTCTGTACTTTGCAAAGAATGCAGTGGAAGAAATGGCATGGGGGTGGGTGACTGAGGCTGTGTGTGTAAAAATGGTGAAAGTTCTGGATGTTTGGTACCCCAGTGTTGTCTACCTTTTCATTACTTTAATGCACATTGCGTGGTACACCTCCATATCAGCACGTTTGTGACATTACTTGCATGCAATTTAGATTTGGGCTGTAACAGCAGATTTTTTCAGGATGGATATATATTCATACTCAAAGATATTTTAAAGAAAGAAATACCCTTAACATAATTGTGAGCTCACTGCTTACACAGTCCCTTTGAATGGGCTGTGTGGGAACGATCTGCTGTGTTTGTTGCTCTTTCCGCACAATGCTGTTGTCCTTAGCATATCAGGTCTCTGTGTTTACTTGACTCCCAGTAGGGCTCTCCAGTAGAGGGCTGGGTTTATGAGATCCTGGGACGAGGCTTGTATTAGGAGTGCTCTCATAATTAAATGGAGATGACTAACATTCGACGGCCTGTGCCGATCGATCCTGCGCTGTCTGAAATGGAAATTTCAGAAGACGAGAGACAGCTGGTGCCACCTTGCTGCTATCTGAACCTAGATAATGCCAAAGAGTTTACCACCAAAGTTGTACTTGATCAATATATGTCAGCATGAAGGCTGGAATGCTATTATCAATTATTTTTGAGCAGAATCTTGTAAGTTGTTCTGCTCTACTTCACTTTTTCCAATTCAAGATAACCTTTAAACAATTTAAAAACCCTCTCGCATCCACCTGGACCAGATTTGTGCTAATAAGTCGTTTCCTTTTCCTAATGGGAGTCAGCCATCAAAGGGATTTATCCATAGGGAAGGCTAAAGGTTTGTAGGGGGGAACCGTAAGCCATTAATGTTCCTTGCAGCATTATCTCAGGAAACACCATCGTTCTTTTTGAATTTATGAATGTACAGTCTCCGGTGTGCTCTTCTCTGTCTCCCTCATGTGCTTCATTAAAGCTGGATGGGGCCTGAGGGAGCCACTTAGCGGGGATAGCAAGGATCCCCGCCCCGCCAGCGGACAGCCAAGGAGGTGGACGGAACGGAGCCTTGCTTTGGCACACCACCATCTGCGATGAGCGTTTGCGGCCACTTGTAATTGCATTGCCCCACACCGTAACATGCAGGCCGGCTGGAATTCAAAACAGATGTCCTTTTTTGAAAGTCCTGCTATTAATTTGCCTTTGACATTCAACCCCCCATGGAAGCACTGACTCTCCTCCAAGCCAGGCTGAGTACGTGCTCCATGGAGCAGCTTGCTAAAGAAAACATCATCCTGGGAGACTTGGAAGTCAAAGAGCAGACGGTTGATCTCGGTGCCCTTTTGACACTCACTTTCAACCCTGTATCATGTTTGCACTGAGGATTACTAGGTCTGGATTGTTTGGTTTTGCGATTAGGTGCAGATAACCTGCCCAAAGAAGGCTAATCTCACGTTCTTTAGGGTGGAAGTTCTGGTTTTTCTAACGCAGTCGTGGGAGTGAGTTACCTCTCAGGAACCCACTTCTACCTTGTCCCGTCTGAACACAGACCTGAGCTAGTCCTTCCTGTATCTTAGCAACCAAGGTCTTTTTTTTTCGTAACATCTTCCAGAAGCACTTAGAGCTTCCCTCTGAGAAGACCCCTGTCTTTTCATCTCTTAACCTTCCACTGAGTGTGGAGTCGCTCTGTTAGAGGTTCAAATTGAGATAATTAAGACACAACTGCCTCTGGAACTGTCTGATGTGTATTTTTTCTCCTTTTTTATTTTTTTTTTTCCTTCTTGTTTTCCCAATTGCCCCACGCTGTCATTGTCCTTTCATTAATAATGAATATCTGAGGGTGTGCTGTGATCTCCTAAATGAGTAACCTTGTCTGAGATTCGTCATGGATGTTTCATTTGGAATTAGTTCTGGCAACAGGTCACAATGCGAGGCACCACCGTCTGAAGCCTCTGATAAATATGGAAGTGCACAGAGGGCACGAGTGCAGCAGGCTGAGGGAGTGTGCTTTGTGCCATTTCATCTCCCACCCCCACTTCTGTCCCTCGCAAACCACCTACTCGTGCTCCACGCTAAGCAGAGTGGAACACCAGGCGCACACTTGTCGTTGGCACATCAAACAGCACCCTTTTTCATTCATCTTTAAGTTAA